TTACTAAATATAAACTCTCAATCTATGGTGTTAATCAACGTTTAAGTCTAAAAAATTAGGAATTTTTACCTCTTTTAATAAACGTTTAAGTCTAAAAAACAATAGAGTTATTATTAGTTTTTTTTCTACATCTTTTAAAATATTAAATATGAGCATGTTAGGGCTAGTTTGTAAAATAATTAATATATTATCTCACTAAAATATTTATACTAATAAAAATTTAATTTTAGCATATAAATTTATCCCTTGATATAAGAGAAAGTAACAGTTTTACTTATTGTTGTTCACCATATAATATTTAATTATTATTTTATTATGTAATAAAAAAGAAATATTGTTAAATAGTGTAGTAGAATTGTTATAATATATATATATATATATATTTTGTATACAATATGGATTTAATATTTTTTTATGATTTGATAATATAACCAAATCTATGCTTAACTTTGACAAATAAAACAAATAAATACTTTAGTAAGTATTTAATGTATATACTAAATAGGAATATATTTGGTATAATCAAATACCAAATATAATCAAATAAGTCAAAGTGTACATATTCATTTGGTGTTTGATTTTTTTATTATTAAAATCTTATTATTATACTTACCTTTTAAAAATAAAATAAATAAATCAATCAATTAAATAAATATAATATTATAATATCAAAATAGTAATGACATTTAATGTAGTTGACTTTTCTGGATAGTAAATGTAATAAATAGAATCTTCTTTTATATAAGTATAGATTGTATAATACAGAAATAGTAATGCACTAAATGTTGTTGACTTTTCTTTATACTAAATTTGGTAAATGGTATACCTTTTAATATAAGTATAAATGAGATTATTACGGTAAGTGAATTCATAAATTGTCTTCCTCAAAATATTTTATAATGATTATAAAATATTCCAATATCGAAATAGTAATGACATTTAATATTGTTGACTTTTCTGAAAATTAAATGTAGTAAATAGGATCCCTTTTATATAAACTAGTATAGAGCCCGTGCGATGCACGAGGTGCACAATTTTAAGGCTATTTATCCAGACTTATAATTATATACATGAATAAAGAAAAATGTACGGGATATATATAGTACGTGCGAAGCACGAGATATTTTTATTTAGAGAATATTATATTATAAGATGCAATATTCAATAAAAGTTTATAATACGCAAGAAATTGTACAATGTTCAATAAAAGTTTTATAATATTCAAGTGGAGTCTTAAAGTCTCTTGTACATTAAGACTACTAACAAAATAATATTTTAATCAATGAGTTTCCTTTCCTTGTAGCCAAATTGTGAATGTGATTTGAGGAGTACAACAAATCGATGTATAGCTGACTTGCTTTTTTCATTGTAGTTTTTTTTTTCTTTTTTTTTAGAATGAATTTAAAGATATTCTAAAATATAGCAAAAATTAATTTTTTTTATTACAATTAGGAATTTTACTAAATAAAAACTCTCAATCTATGGTGTTAATCAACGTTTAAGTCTAAAAAATTAGGAATTTTTACCTCTTTTAATCAACGTTTAAGTCTAAAAAACAATAGAGTTATTATAAGTTTTTTTT